ACCTGTTTGCCCCACTGTGTCCCCAGAACAGCTACAGTAGAAGGTGGCAGCTGATGAATGACACAATAGAAGAGTGTCCAGTGAACTGAGGGTGCGAAGTGACCCCCATTTTCCTGTTCAGGACACCTCACAGCCCGTAGTGTGCTAGTGTGCACTGCTGTCTGCAGTGGGAACCAAGGGCTCCAATGGACCAGCCGGGTGTGAACAGGTAACAGAGATGAGTGCAGACACCAGGAAATTCTGCCCTGAGAAGCAGCCCTTCCCTTTCTCAGGAGGGGGGTGTTCGCTGAGAAGGAAGGCTCCCCCTTGGGGACACCAGCCTTGGGGGTCCTTGAGTATACCTAGCAATAGGTGGCGTGGGAGAAAATACCACAAACCCTATTTGCTTGGAATATTCGCTCTCCCCAACTGAATGCAAAAAGCTTCCGTTTATATAACTGAACTTTAAAAGTCAAGCCACTTATGTACTTGAATGTATTTATCTAGAATTGAAATAATTTTAGTTATTCCAGGAGCTAAGTTCCTCTTGCCTTAAAGTTATTTGTTGTGTAGATGAAGAGTTGCCTCCGACAGAATATTTATTGGGTTAAAATTTGAATGGCAAATGTATTCACACGCTATCCACTTTAAACTGCGCCCAGCCTCGCTGCCCGGCCAGGGGCAATGCCCTGCGGGTCCTCACGGGGAGCTAGCCTGGTCTGGATCAAAGGTTAATATTTGAGTAGCTTTTCCATAAATGTATTCAAAGAGGGTATTATCAACCATCAGCTATTAAACATTCTGATTTATCCTTTAAGCCTTTTCCACACACAGACACTTAATCTAAAATTTTACATGTTCTACTATACCACAAAATGATTATTTTTAAAGCTTAGGAGGAAAAAGGGGGAAAGTCACCTGTAGATCCATTCCCCACGGCAGCAAAGTACGTTGGCCCTGTGCCACTGGGGTGCAGAGTCTTGTCTCAGTGTGTCAATGTTGGGACCCCTTGTCCTGTCCACCCTGTACTCTGTCCACTCCAGAGGTGTTGGAGGAGGACATGGGAGGAGGGTAGGGGAATGGGCAGGGGCCCACTGCCCAGTTCACGGGGGAAGTTCCCGCCTACCTGTTTACTCATCAGTTTACTCATTGTAAACAGGTGATCTCCAGTCCCAGCTGAAGATTTTAAACTATTAAATAAGTATGGAAGGTCTCAGGGCACCTGGTGAGGTTGATGTAGAGCCATTTTCATGGGCTCTTCCCAGTGATCCGCTATCAAGATCACATTCTCGGTTGCACTCACAGATTGTTGCTAGCACGGAGGAAAGTTGTTTTTAACCTAGGAAATAGATTTTGATGGCTTCTCTCTGAGTTCTAACTAGAAATGCAAGTTTATCTGAACCAGTAAATTGATTTTTTTCTGTTTCTGACCCCAGCACCCTCGTGTGTCCTGGGATGATGGTCACTCCTACATGCTTCCTGCAGGCTTGTTGGAGGTGCCCATGTCCCCACAGACATGACTGGGCGCTGAGAGGTGGAACACTATGGGCCGGGGCTTTGACTGGGGAGAGCTTCTGCCCCGTCATGAAACTGTCCACAGAAGCAACCAGGTCTCCTGTGGGAATGGACAGGCCTTCCCCAGCATCAGCACCCCCTCAGCCACCTGTGGAAGGGGAAGCTCTCAGACTGGGCTGGACCTGCTGCAGCTGTGGGTATCTCAGCGGGATGCCTGGCTGGGCCCAGGGGCACACACATTAGTGCCAATTCCCCCCACCCAGAGGGCAATTTGCCCTGAGCCCCAGACCTAACTTCCGATTCCAGTGCAGATCGGTTTCCTTCTGGCTGCTTCCAACTGGAGTCAAAATGCCTGGGGGCCGATTGACCGGCCACTCCTCAGACTCCAGGCAGAGCCCAGGCGTCTCCCGCTTGTGCCCCCAGCCTTCCCAGAGAGTTGCAGTGCACTGTGGGTTCTACTGACTATCGTAGCAGCAGTGGACAAACTGGGAGACCATGGCTGCACAGGCTAGGGCATGAGGGTGAGAGCGGTACTTATAGCCCCACAGGTCAGCACAGGCCAGGGGGCTCCTAGTCCCCCAGAGGAGTGGCTCAATGGCCAGACATGCAAGCTTTCAAGGGTGACCACTGCCTTTCCTGTGTTCCAGCTGAGTCCTAGGTGCACGTGAGCCCTGGACCAGGGAGGACTCAGTGTTGTGTTAAGTTGGGACTGAAGAAAAGACAGCATGTCCAGGGGCCCAGGGAGGGGAGGTCCGGTAGCCTGAGCAGCACCCTTGTGATTTCCATGGTCCCGCCACCTAACAGGGCTGCATTTGCTGGCTAGGAGAGCGCACTTTCCACAGAAGACTAGAGACTGGGTTTTCCCCAGCGAGAGCTGAAACGACCATGGAGGAGCAGAGCTATCTAGTCAGAGGGGCCTGGTCCCAGGGCTCCCTGGCCCTAGAACTGTTCCATGGCTGTGCTGTTTTCACAACTGTGCTGTAGCACCACTGAGCTGTAGTATTGTTTGCACTGAATAAAGTTTCCTTCACTGCACCCCAATTGGGAATTCTTCTTGGCATTGAATTGGTGCCAACAAATCATCGGTTGACAGGTGCAACACACATTCCAGGTGTAGCCACCTGCCCGGAACCCGATTCCTGCTCCTGCTCCTGTCTAGGCAGATCCCCACTGAGCACCAGCACTGCCATCTTCTGGCACCTGGGCTCCCAACCCCTGGCCCAAGCCCCTAGTACACACCTCTCCCTTCTGGCCCTGCACTTACCCCCTACCCCTCCACCCCGCCACCATTGTCCCTCCCCGCCAGGCTGGCCAACTGTCCACTGCCCAGGGGTGTTTCAGTTCAGCCAGGATGAGACAGAGGGACACCTGACCTCACCCCAGGTCTCAGGATGACAGTATTTTGACTATATGTGGTAAGACAAGTAGAACTGTACACAGATAATGTGCCCCAGTTACGAAATTTGTTTTGCACAGAGCTATGAGTTAGAAATCCTGGAGTTATTTTGTTTTCTAGAATTGAGCAAGCAAGCAAACATGTTTTGGATAATCAGAATTGGATACATAATTTTGCATAATTTTCGGGCCCTGTACAGAATGAGAACATGGGGCCCTTGTTCAGAATTCGTTAACAATTTCAGGACAGCGACAGTAGAGCATTAAACCAAGCCCTTCTGCGCGGGAGGCTGTGTGGATAATGAGTCTCAAGGTTGGATAAGGTGAATGTTGGTCATAAACACAGAAGGAATGCCAGACAGAGAAAAACAAACACGATGTGATATCACTTATATGTATTATCTTCTTAAAAATCCCAAACTCATAGAAAAAGAGAGATTTTCAGTTACCAGAGGAGTGGGGTGGGACAGAAAGAATTGGAGGAAGGGGGTCAGGTACGATTTCCAGGCATAAGATCAATTAAGTCCTGGGCGTGTCTAGTACAGCACAGGTCACAGTGTCAGGTGGGATATAGTAAAGCTGCTCAGACAGCAGATCCTAACAGTAAAAACAATATGAGAGCATGTATGTTCAAGCTTATGCATTACTAGAGGCCTGATGCACGGAATTCGTGCAGGAGTAGGCCTTCCTCCCCCCCCCCCCCCCCCCCCCGCTGCTGGCACTGGCTTCCCTCCAGCACCTGGGACCCAGGCTTCCCTCACAGCCCTGACTTCGTCCAGAAGGATGGAAGGACGTCTGGAAGGACATCTGGTCTAATTAGCATATTATGCTTTTATTATTATGGATGGCCCAGTTTTAAAGCTGAAGGCTGGAAACAACCCATATGTCTGTCAAGATGGAGATAGCTGAATAAACTGTGGTACAGCCACAAAACGGAGAAATGTGCAGCTGTAAAAACATGTAGGAAATGTCTCTATTTACTGCATAGCATTTTCTCCAGGATATAAAAAATAATAAAAAAAACACTCAATTAAACGTCTGGAGATAAAAAAAAATAACACCTGAAATGAAAAAACACACAGAATGAGTTTAATAGTTTGAAAACTGCAGGAAAATATTGGCGAACTTAAATACACAGCTTTAGGAAAATGGAAAAATAAACCAGCCTCAAGCTGTATAACATACATATAGCTGGAACCCCAAAAAAGGGGGCAGAAAAAATATATTTGAAGAAATCTCAGCTGCAGTATTTTCAAATTTGATGAAACTCTCTCATTGAATAAGTTCAATAAGCCTCAAGCAGGACAAACAAGGGAAACCACACCATAGCATGTCATCAATAAATTGCTGAAAACCCACCACTTTTGTGAGACTAAACAGTCATCTTTTCTGTCCAAGAACAGTTTAGACAGCTGCCATTTGGACTGCGTGACTTGGCAGCCACCATGTTGGCCGCAGGACTTGCAGCTCCCTGGGGGTCGCCATCTTGAAACGGCAAAGGCCAATCCCTCCCTTTGAATTAGCCAATCAAGAAAGACTGTGTGCCTGAGCTCCAATCAAGAGTGAGGGCAGGTCAGGTGCGTCAGGATTAAAAAGCCGAGCAGATCACCTGCTCAGTGTGCATGTGCTCCCAGGCCATGTGCGTGCACACCCTTCTGCACAGGAGTAAAGGTATTTACCTTGCTGCCTGGCTCCCGAGCATGTTTTGTGTTCTACCAGGATCCCTGAATCTGGGGGCTCACCCTACTTCTTACACTTTTTCAAAATATTCTAAAAGCAGTCAGAGAAAACTAACACACTATAGAAAGAGAAACAAAGACAGGGATCACTGCTAACTTTTCAGCAGAAACAATGCAAGCCATAAGACAATAAATAAAACATGTGCTTCAACGTGCTGGGAAAAAAAGGCTGATCAAACTAGAATCCTGTAATTAGTGAAAATACCTTTCAAAAATGACAGCAAATTAAAAACATTTCCATATAACCAATGGTTGACAGAATTCACCACCATTAGATCTGCATAACAGGAAATGCTGAAGTAATTGAGGCTAAAGGAATAAAAACTACCTGGAAGCCAGGATACATACAAAAGAGGCAAGAGCAGGTAAATATAACGTCAACTGGTGATTGTTGGTGCCAATTCAACGCCAACAGAAATCCCCAATTTGGAAAAAGGAAACTTTATTCAGTACAAAACAGCTCAATTGTGCTACAGCACAGCTGTGGAACAGCTCTGGCGCCAGCCAGGCCCTTCTCCAGATACGCAACTCTGCTCCTCTGTGGTCTGCTTCGTCCTGCGTTAGTCAGCTTCACTCTGCTCTGGCAAGACACCTTCAGAGTTTCATCTCAGCCAGGGAAAGGGCTTCCATCTCTCTGAGCCAGAGGGGAACTGGTTTAAGTGGTCTCTGATTGGCCCATAGTCATGCAAATGAGGATTCCAAATCCCCACAGCCTGATTGGTCAGAACAGAGCCACTCTGATTTGCTGGAGCTGCACAGCTTCAATTGGATGGAGGAAACCTCAGTCTGATCATTGAATTAGGATTCCAGGAATTCCTTCATGAGGGCTGGCTCAGATGGCAGAAACACAGTGCAGGCAGGCAGTTCGGTGCAGGCTTCTCTGTGAAGTGAGTTTCTGTGAGAGGCCCCTGTGTGGAAATGGCTGCTAGGCTGTTTTTTTTTTTTAATTTGAGTGCAGTTAGTCACTAGTAGCCCTTCTTGATAGGTGTGTCCGCCCCCACCCCCAAGGGTTTACATTCTAAAACACATGTTTGTTCATTTCTAACGTATTTAAAAGATAACTGACTGTTCAAAGCAAAAAATAGCAATATGTCATGGGGCTGATGGCATAACAGAAGTGAAACTTATAGCAATAAAAAAGGAACAGGACAGTAGAAATGAAACTTGACTGTTTCAGGTTGTTGCAACCTATGTGACATAATATGATTTGAAGGTAGATTGTCCTAAGGTAAAGCTACATATTGACAACTGGAAAATTAATTCTTTATAGGTCCCACTCGGAGGCCTATAACAAAAGATACATTTAAATCATTTTATCTTATATAATAAAAGCCTAATATGCTAAGTGTCTGATCGTTTGACCAGTCGCTAAGACAAGCACTAACCACCAGGGGGCAGATGCTCTGACCGGTAGGTTAGCTTGCTCCTGGGGTCCAGCTGATCGGGACTGAGCAAGACGGGCTGGACATGCCCCTGGACAAATCTGTGCACCGGGCCTGTTTCAACCCAATCCCCGCAGGCCAGGCTGAGGGACCCCACCGATGCATGAATCCGTGCACCGGGCCTCTAGTTTAATAATAATTAATAATAATCTAATCTAATAAAAGACAAACATGCAAATTGACCGTGCCTTTGCTACGCCTTAAGCCATGCCCACCAGCCAATCAGAGCGACTATATGCAAATTAACCCAACCAAGATGGCGGCCGGCAGCCACGGAGCTGGAGCGAGCAGGAGGCTTGGTTGCTCCAGTGATGGAGGAAGCCAAGCTTCCCGCCCGTCCTGGCTGGCTCTGAGCTCCACTGAAGGCAACAAAATTTCAATTATAGAAGGTAAATAAATCTCAGAATAAAAGAAAGAAAAAGAAAAAAAAGGAGAGGCTGGGAGCTTCCATCACCAGGGGGCTTGGCCAGCCTAAAAATGGCCCTCACCCAAACTGGCCAGGCAACCCAGTGGGGACCCCCCCACCCTAAAGGGGATGTGGCCAGCATGAAAACAGCCATCAGCCCCTCACCCAGGCTGGCCAAACCTCCATGGGGTGAGGGTCCCCACTGGGGGGAAAGGTCTTGACCAGCCTGCAAACAGACATCAGCCCCTCACCCAGGCTGGCCAGGCACCCCAGCGGGACCCCCACCCTGATCCGGGACATCCTTCAGGGCAAACCAGCCGGCCCCCACCCATGCACCAGGCCTCTATCCTATATAATAAAAGGGTAATATGCAAACTGACCCTAACAGCAGAACTGGTCACTATGATACACACTGACCACCAGGGGGCAGACGCTCAATGCAGGAGCTGCCCTCTGGTGGTCAGGGCACTCCCACAGGGGGAGCACTGCTCAGCCACAAGCCAGGCTGATGGCTGCCAGTACAGCAGTGGTGGTGGGAGCCTCTCCCGCCTCCTCAGCAGCGCTAAGGATGTCCAACTGCAGCTTAGGCCTGCTCCCTGCTGGCAAGTGGACATCCCCTGAGGGCTGCCGGGCTGCCAGAGGGATGTCTGACTGACAGCTTAGGCCCAATCCCCCAGGGAGCGGGCCTAAACCAGCAGGTGGTCATCCCCCAAGGGGTCCCAGACTGAGAGAGGGCACAGGCTGGGCTGAGGGACCAACCCCCCTGCCCCCCCCCGAGTGCACAAATTTTTGTGCACCAGGCCTCTAGTAATATAATAATAATAGAGAGCAAAAATAGAAAAACATACCAATAATTACATTAAATTTAAATTATGTAACACCAGATTAAATGGCACAGATTGTCAACCAGAATTTTTAAAAAGTAAGAACTAACTTTAAACTGCCTATAAGAAACACATTTCAAATGCAAAGACACAGAAGTTAAAAGTAAAAGATCATGAAAGGATATGTTAGGGAAACACATCTAAAGAAAGCTGAAGTAGTTTTGTTACTGAAAGTAGACTTGAAAATAGTATCGCCAGGGATAAAGGACAGTTCGGAATCCCAAAATGGCCAATTTATCAAGAGGACATAATCCTAAACGAGTATGCTCCTTTTGAGCCTCTGAGAGGGGCCGTAACCATCTTATTCCAGTTAATTTTGTATGTTCTTCAACAGTGCCTGCCCCATGGAGTTTATATGGAAAAAACAACAAAAACTGTTGCCAAACTCAAGGGGTTCACCTTGTGGGTTGTTCTATTCAAAGAGACTTGGTTGTCTCCAGGTAGTTTTATTTACTTGCAGCAAGTAAAAGAGAAGGGATTCACATCTAAAGCTCTGTCTCCCGGAGGGAGGCCTAGCCATTGCTTGTATCAGCTATTTTTCAACCTTTTCCATCTCACGGAGCACAAAAACTAATTAGTAAAGTTCTGTGGCACACCAAAAAATATGTTTTTTTTGCCGATCTGACAAAAACATAGGTGTAATTTTGATTCATTCACACCGACTGCTATTATTGTGTTGGCTGTTGTCACCTTGTCATTTGACAGTCTAAGGAAAAAGAAGTCAGTGCTCCTGACTAAAAAGACAGGTACTGCATGATTTTAAAATTCTTGCAGCAACCGGTGGAAAATCACTGGCTTATATATACTATTTGTTCAATTACAGGTAGTAGGCTACACATACCTTGTTGGGTCCCTATCAAGCTTATCCTGCTTACAGCAGGTCTGCAAAATACTGTGCTACATTTAGTAACGTGCACAGGAAAAGGGGCCACATACTAAACCTGACTAAAGCTGGGGGCAGGGTGGGGCCCGGTCTGCATGGAGGGGCAGAAAGTCACCACACAGGATGGACTGAACTTACTAATTTCCTAAGTGAAAACAAGTCACAGCAGGGAGTCGCATCCGGGGCTGGCAGCTTCCATAACACAGGTCCTTCTTTACCTTAAGTGAGCCTGTCTTTTTGCAACTGAGATCACATACCTTTGGAAGGTCAGTCATCTTTTTCCAGACCCGGGAGGGCACAACTCCCACCAGAGCAAGAGACCACAGAACCCGTCACTGTTACCTTGTTGCCCACATTCTAACGTAAAACAAGTATTTGTCTCTCTGTTTTGCTTTTTATCCAATCTTCGAGATTTCCCCAGCTTTCCTTTCTCCCGCCTCTTCCATCTACCACCCCTGGATTTCATGTAGCCACTACAGCCTTTTATGTCTTCTCCTTTGATCCTAATGTATAAAGAAATAAGCTGTAAAACTGCCATTCTCCAGAGCATTTTCTCAATCCGTTGGGCTTTTGATTCCTGGCAACTGTCACCAATTTGGCTCAAATAAACTCATAAGAACTCTACAGGTTTAGACGTTTCTTACTTCCACATTTAGAACCGCCCAAACCTTGCGACCCTTGTCCTAGCTAACAAAACCAACACGAAATCAAGTATTTCATTTTTGTTAATCTATTTACTATTTATTTCTCTTTAACTTTTATTTTCACGTTTCCAGATTTAGGTCTGAAACAATACAGAATCACTGTATCGCCTCCATCCAGCTTCCTCAAAAGTTAACATTTCACCCATTTGTGGATCTGGCCAAGCCTGGGGGTGGCGTGGTTCCAGGGCGAGGGTCCGCTGGCGATCTCGGGGGGTGGTAGGCTCTGAGATGCGCCCTCCCACCTGTGGGCGCCCCGGGTCCGCCGGCTCTGGGTCCCGGACCTGCGCCCGACCGGAGAAAGCCTGAGAGCCCCGTACCCCGGAGCGCCTAGGAAGGACGGCGCGGGTAAATGACGTCGCCGCCTCGCTTCGGACGCAAGCTAGTGCGTGCATACGCGCGTGCGCGCCCGCGCGAGGGGAACTAGACTACGCTTCCCAGGTGGCCCTGCGGCGGGCCCACTTCCGTCCGGTGGCAGAGGACCCGGAAGCTTCCGGCGCGCCGGCGAATCCCGCGGTGACAGGTAGACGGCGGCGGCAAGAGTATGCAGGGTGGCCGGTGGTCCGCGGCGCCCGGCGCGTTAGTTCCCCGACGGCGGCGGCGGCGCGCGGCGGCTCTCGAGTGAGCGGCGACGGCCAGAGCATCCAGCGGGCGCCGGGAGGGAGGCTCGCGGGGCCCGCGGCAGCGAGACGGACCGGGACGGGTGGGCGCCGCGCTCCGCCCGGAGGCGGCGGCACCATGTGGAGCGGCCGCAGCTCCTTCACCAGCCTGGTGGTGGGCGTGTTTGTGGTGTACGTGGTGCACACCTGCTGGGTTATGTACGGCATCGTCTACACCCGCCCGTGCTCCGGCAACGGTAACTGCATTCAGCCCTACCTGGCTCAGAGGCCCAAGCTGCAGGTGAGTTCCCGGGTTGGGGCGAGGGGTCTCCGCGACGAACGGGGGGCCGAGAGCTAGTCTCACCTGAGCTGGGCAGAGTCCGGTGGGGTGGGGGGCGCTTCTCATCAGAGCCAGGCCGGAGCTGGGCTGAGGGCTCTCCTGGCCTGATCCCTGACCTCCCTCCCCTAGTAGCCCCGAGACTCTGCCTGCATAGTGACCGCAGGCGGGCCCCGGACGCTGCCCTTGTCACCCCATCACAAGGTACCCAGAGTCAGTGTACCCCTGCTCTGCTGATCCAGTCAGCTACACACTTTAGCAAGTTGTTCTTTTGCAGCAGACACATCAGATACAACCATTCGGTCACAGGTCAGAGTTTTGTCCCTTTGGGAGTTAAAAATGAAACCTCTCACCTTTCAGATTGCTCTCCTTTGCGTAGCTCTTTGATGTGTGTTTTTTGTGGCCAGGACCGTGCCAAGCTAATTTTCTTGACATCGTTTCCAGCTGAGTGTGTACACCACCACCCGGTCCAACCTTGGTGCTGAGAACAACGTGGATCTTGTCTTGAACGTGGAAGACTTTGATGTGGAGTCCAAGTTTGAAAGGTGTGGTTATATGACAAAGTGCCAGCGATAAGGCTAACATAATAAAATGTTTAGATTGTTTAAAAGTTAGCGTTCTGTATGTAACAAGGTTACCCCAGAAAAGCCGTATTACCTACCGTCTTGTGAGAACGTTTTAATGGAAGACCTATGTGTGATGGGTAGACGGCCAAACTTTTGTTTTACTTGTCATTTAGGAAGCAGCTGACACCAGCATCACATGGCTGTGGGACATGCAGCAGCTAGGGGGAGTTTGGGATGGAGTGGATGTTGCACTGGGAATGACATGCGGTTTCCCACAGCAAACCACTTGTCTCTTTGTAACCAAAGGCGTTTCATATATAACTATGGCTCTGGGGTCTTAAGATTTCAACAGGCATAACTTTAAAAAATGATGTGTTTGTCAAGAGTCTACCTTTTCCCTCTACATCGTCGGGGAGGTATCAGATAGAGTGATGGGAACATGTGCTGGAATGAACGTCCTCTAGCCAGCCAGCCCCCTCATAGAGCTGCAGAGGCAGTGCCGCGGGCAGGGGCCTTGCACACCTGGAGATTGGCCACTGCCTCTGACTGACTTGTCTTGAGTGCCAGGAAATGGAGGCAGGAAACACAGGCTTTCCTGCTCTCAGGTATAGCTGCTTAAGCTTTTAGAAAACGTTCCATTAACTTCCGTACCTAGGACTCTCAGTCATAGGCAGGTGGGTTTCATTTTTAGTACTCTAAACTAAAATTAGCTGTTATAAAGATATTTGAGTAATCTTTGCTGTGTGTGTATATACAGAGTGTAAATGTACACATTTGAAATTGTAATTTGTCTTGTTTTAGGACAGTTAATGTTTCTGTACCAAAGAAAACAAGGAATAATGGGACGCTGTACGCCTATATCTTCCTCCATCATGCTGGCATTCTGCCTTGGCACGATGGGAAGCAGGTGCACCTGGTTAGTCCTCTCACCACCTACATGGTCCCCAAACCAGAAGAGGTCAATCTGCTCACTGGAGAATCTGCTGCACAGGTGGGCATCTTCGTCAGATTATCAGCCAAAGGAGCCTGCACTCTGCCTCTTAGAATTCACACCTGCATGTCCCTGTACATGCAGTTTCGATCTAGGGCTGGGTTATTGGCGAACATGTCTGTGCTTCAGCAGAATAATTTCCCACATTTACAGATAAATTTTTTGTCAAATTAGTGACGTGCTCTTAAGTAATCAACTGACATTTTTTATGTATATTTTTTCACAGGGAGCCCCTTCTATGGAGCTCAGCTGTAGTCATTACTTAAGAGTTGGGAAACTTACTGCACTTAATATATTTATTCTAAGAATATAATTTAAAGTTATTCAAAAGGCAGGTGTACAAATTATATTTTATACATCCGTAGAAAACTATATGTACCAAGAAACACTGGGAGTTACGTAAGTGACCATTGACAAAGCCTAGGAATTCTGGTGTTTGGGTCTGTGTTAAATGGAAGGTCAGATCATTTACAAACAAGAAAGATGGCAGCTTTTCAGGAAGTTTCTGTGATGCTGCTCCCTGCACAGGGACAGGGCTGTCAATGGTTCAGGTAGGTTTTGAAAAACCTGACAGCCTGCTCTGGCCTCTCCCAGTTTGCACTCCTGCTGTGTGTCCTTGAGAAGACCCCTCGCCTCCTTTTCCACAGAAAAAGTATGGCCCTGCCTCATGGGGCCTTCCTGGGGAATCGAGGCAGTAGGTGTAAAGGGAATGGAGAGGTCTTTGGAACGTATAAATGCCAAATGTTAGCTATTACTATTATTTGGGAGGTAAATTATTACATCAAAATATATCTTTTTTTAAAAAAAAATATTTTTACTAGAGGCCCAGTGCACGAAATTTGTGCATGGGGTGGAGGGTGGGGTGTCCCTCAGCCCAGCCTGTGTCCTCTCGTAATCCAGGAACCCTCAGGTAGGGTCCCTAGCCTGGCCAGCGATCAGGGCCTATCGTGGCTTTCCTCCCGCTCCCCCCCCCCCCCCCCCATGCTGGCAGCTGGCCCCGCCCCCACCACTGCCACTGCTTGCCATCTGTGTGGCACTGCCTCCCTCCCTGCACCCATCCCCCCACAAGTCGCCTCCCTCTGCGGTACGATCACTGGCCGGCCCTGCACACCCGCCACAGCGTCGCTGGCCAGTGGCCTGGGCCTCCCTCTATGGGACATTCAATCACGGGGCCCCCTGATCGATGCCCCCACAGAGTGAGGCCCCGCCCACCTGGCCAGGGCTCCACGATCGATCACTGTGCAGAGGGTGGCCTGGGCCTCCCTCTGCAGGGCAGTCATGGGGCAATGGCAGCTACCCTTTACCAATCGCATTGCATCCGCCTTGGCTGGCCTTGCGCCAGTGCATCTCATAGCGTGGTCGTCCGGAAGGTCGTCTAGACGGTCGTTCTGCTGTTTGGTCATTCTGTCAATTTGCATATTAAGCTTTTATTATTATAGATTGATTTCAGAGAGGAAGGGAGAGGGAGAGAGAGATAGAAACATCAATGATGAGAGAGAATCATTCATCGCTGCCTCCTGCACGCCCCCCACTGGTGATTGAGCCCACAACCTGGGCATGTGCCCTTGACTAGAATCGAACCAAGGATCTTTCAGTCCGCAGGCCGACGCTCTATCCACTGAGCCAAACCAGCTAGGGCAAAAATATATCTTTTAAGTAGGAGATAAATGACACTGTTTCCTAGAATATGTCAGTTAGATCTCAAATAAAGATTTTCCTGCCAATCAGTTTCTTGGTGGATGCCTAGACATTGACACAGCTCCTTCCCGACAACCTGATGTCCCTGATTGAGCAGCAGTCTCCTTTTCAGTCTGTCTCATTGCACATGCGGGACAGTTAACTCTAGCTTGCCTGCACCTCCTGTCATTGTCTCGGGGACTCGCCCTCCCCAGTATCCCTAAGAAGTGGGCCTTGCTTAGGTGGAGGACCCAGGGCAGGCGTCAGTGAGATGCAGGGCCACATGGGACTTCTGTGCAGAGAAGGAAGTGAGGGGTGTAAGAACTTGGGCAACTGGCATTTGTGGCGCCCCACACTCTGCCAGGCTCTGCTTCCCAGTTGTGTGGTCTTGGCATGTGGGCTATTCCCAGGTGAAGGTGCTGACCACCCTGTTACCTCAACCTGTTTCAGGCCCGGTTTCCCAGCCAGCATTGGCCTCTTTTCATGCTGAGTCGCTCCTTTTCATTTAGCAGAATATCGAAGCTGAGAAGAAGCCGATGAGTGCCCTGGATGAGCCTGTTTCTCACTGGAGACCAAGATTGACACTGAATGTGATGGTGGATGACTTTGTCTTTGACGGGTCCTCCTTGCCAGCCGATGTGCATCGATACATGAAGATGTAAGTGCACTAGTCTAACCGGAGATTGAGGCTTACTTGACTGGCTTTGAGCATCAGTTTGCCCTGAGTTGACAGCAGAGGAAGCGACCGCAATGGTGTAGGGCTGGAGGAAGCCCCTCAGGATGGTGGCCCACCAAAATCCAAAAATGGATTGGTCATACCTGCATTTTTTAATAAGAGAGGAAAGGAGAGGGATAGAAACATCAATGATAGAATTATTGATCGGCTGCCTCCTGCATGCCCCCCACTGGGGATCAAGCCCCCAACTTGGGCATGTGACCTGACTGGGAATCGAACCACTAACCCACACCGGCTGGACACACCTGCATCTTTGAGTTGTCCCTGGGATGGGAGGCCCAGGAGGGCCTAAGGTGCTGCCTGGGCACCCTCAAACTTTGTCCCTTTTCTCTGGGCAGTCTTGCTGACCGAGATTGCCATCAGAACGTTGGAATGAATGAAACTGGGAGTCATCCTGCCCTTTGTTTTTGTTTTTTTAATCCTCACCCGAGGCTATTTTTTCTGTTGATCTATAGAAAGAGAGTGGAAGGGAGGTGGTGTGGGGGAGAGGAACAGAGAGAGGGAAACACCAATGTGAGAGACACACATCAACTGGTTGCCTCC